GGAAGCAACATGTCTCCAGCTATGACAACACTGTTAAATGTCAACAACACAAGACCTACAACAACTACTAAAACAACCTTAAGGGGCAGCAACACAACTACAACTGCAACAACAACAGAATTCAATGGAAACAACACAACTTCTCCAGCAGCAACATTCAATGAAAAAAATACAACAACAATTTCAACAACAACAACACTGTTAAATGTCAACAAGACAACGGCTGCAGCAACAATGTTAAATGACAACATCACAACTGCAGCTGCACTAACAAGAATGGATGTTAACAACACAGAAAACAATCCAACAACAGCATCAAATGGAAATAACACAACTAGAATTGTAACAACAAATTTGGAAAATACCAACAGCACAACTATTGAACCAACAACATTATATGGAAGCAATACAACAACAGCACTTTTAATTGTTAACAAGACAACAACAGCATCAACTCCAAATGGCAAAAACACAACTACAGCTGCAGCAACAACATTAAATATTGACAAAACAACTATAGCAGTAACAGCAGCATTAAATGACAACACAACTGTAGGTGCAACAACAATCAATCTTAACAACACGTTAAAAAATGTAACATTACCTGCATCAAGTGAAAACAACACAACTGCATTTACAACAACAGTGGAATATGTCAACAACACAACAGTTGCATCAACAGCATTAAATGGAAACAGCACAGCAACTGCACCAATATCTACTTCAACAGGAAGCAACATGTCTCCAGCTATGACAACACTGTTAAATGTCAACAATACAAATGCTACAACAACAACAGCCTTAAAGGGCAACAACACAACTAAAGTTGCAACAACAGAATTCAATGAAAACGACACAACTACAAATTCTCCATCAGCAATATTCATTGAAACAAATACAACAACAGTTCCAACAACAACACTGTTGAATGTCAACAAGACGACAGCTGCAGCAACAATGCTAAATGACAACATCACAACAACAGCTGCATTAACAACAATGGGTGTTTATAACACAGTAAACAATCCAACAACAGCATCAAATGGAAATAACACAACTAGAATTGCAACAACAAAAGTGGAAAATATCAACAGCACAACCATTGAACCAACAACATTATATGGAAACAATACAACAACAGCTGCAACAACAGCACTTTTAACTGTTAACAAGACAACAGCAACAACAACAACAACTCTAAATGGCAAAAACTCAACTACAGCTGCAACAACAACAACATTAAATATTAACAAAACAATAATAACAGTAACAGCATCATTAAATGACAACACAACTATAGCTGCAACAACAATCAATCTTAACAACACATTAAAAAATGTAACATTACCTGCGTCAAGTGAAAACAACGCAACTATATTTATAACAGCACTGGAAGATGTCAACAACACAACAGCTGCATCAACAGCATTTAATGCAAACAGCACAACAACTGCACCAATATCTACTTCAACAGGAAGCAACATGTCTACAGCTATGACAACACTATTAAATGTCAACAATACAAGAGCTACAACAACAACAACAACTATAAATGGCAAAAACACTACTACAGCATCAACAGCAACATCAATAAATGTCAACAGTACAACTAGCGCTGCAGTAACATTAAATGGAAACAACACAATGACAGTTGCAGAAACACCAGTGGAAAATGTCAACAATACAACAACACTGGTACCACCAACAATTTTAAATGGAAACAATACAACTACAGATGCAACCACAACAATAGATCTTACCAGCACAATAAAAAATGCAACAATACCAGCATCAAATGGAAACAACGTAACCCTATCTGCAACAGCAATTGTGTTGAATGTCAGTGAGACTTCCACAGCTACAACAACAAGTTTAAATGACAAAAACACAACTACAGCAGCAACAACAGAAGTGTTAAATGGTAGTAGGACAACAGCAACTGCAACAACAATTCTAATTGGCAACAACACAACTACAACTGCATCCACTGCAACAAGTCTGAACAACACAACAAAAAAAGATACTACGCCAGCATTAAATGGAAACACCACAACCACAGCTGCAACAACAACATCAACTTTAGATGGAAACAGTACAACAGATGCAACAACAGCACACTTGAATGTCAACAAGACAACAGTTATAACAACAACTCTAAATGGAAACAGCACAGCTACAGTTGCAACAACAACAACTGTAAATTACAATAATGATATGACTGCTGCAATAACAACAACCTTAAATGACATGGGCACAATGACAGCTTCAACAACAGTAGTGTTAAATACCAACAAGACAACAACAGCTACAACTGCAACAACACTGACTGTCAACAGCACAACTACAGTTTTAACAACAGCTTTAAACAACAACAATACAACTTGGGTTGCAACTACAACAATAGGTCTTAACAATACAATAAAAAATGTAACAATTCCTGCATTTAATGGAAACAACACAACTACAGCTGCAAATGAAACAGAGTTAAACGCCAGTGAGACTCCAACAACTACAACAATAACTTCTAAGTATAGCAACACAACAGTAGCTGGAACAACATCTGTAAATGGAAATAATACAATGATAATGACAACTTTAAATGATAACACAAAGGCAGCTTCAGAAACAACATTAAATGGCAAAAACACGACAGATGAAACAACTATAAATGACAGCAACCCACTAGCTGCAACAACTTTAACTGGTAACAACATAACTACAGCTGAATCCATTACAGTGTTTAATGTCAAGACAACAACATCAGCTACAAGTACAACAACCCTAAATGGAAGCAACACAACTACAACAACCCAAAATAGCATAAACAAAGATACAGTTGAAACAACAAAAACAGATGTAAATGGCAACAATACAACATCTGAAACTACAACTTTAAATGTTAATATAACAACAGCTACAGCTTTAAATAGTGCCAATACAATGGCAGTTGCAACAAAAACAATAACTATAAATAGCAATGACACAACTACATCTACAATTACAGTGGTAAATGTTAACAAGACAACAGATACAACAGGAACAACAACTTTAAATGTAAACAACACAACTCCAGTCTTAATAGCAACAGTGTTAAATCTCAACATGACACCCCCAGCTGCAACAATAAATTTAAATGACAACAACACAACAGCAGTTGCAACAGCAACTTTAACTGGCTACAACACAATGACAGATGCAACAAAAAAAAATTTAAATGACAACAATACATTGGCAGCTGCAACAACAACAACAACTGTAAATAGCAATAACCCACCTACAGCAGCAACACCAAGAACTGTAAATGGTAATACAACTGAAGCTACAACAACAACAGTAAATGGCAACAACCCACCTAAAGCTTCAACAAACACAACAATAAATGGGGACAGTACAGCAACAGTTGCAACAACTTTAAATGGTAACAACAGAACAACAACAACAACTGTTAATGGCAACATTACAATGACAACAACAACAATGACTTTGAATGGTAACAATATACTGGCAGCTTCAACAAAAACTGTAAATGGCAACACAACTATATCTGAAACAACGGTAAATGGCAACAACATCACACCCGTGGCAACAACTGCAAATGGCAACACATCTGCAGCTGCAATAACAACAGTGTTAGATGTCAACCTGACATACCCAGCTGCAACAATAAATTTAAAGGACAACAACACAACAGTAGTTGTAACAGCAACAATCTTAAATGGCAAAAACACAACAGATGCAACAACTTTAAATGACAACAATACATTGGAAGCTGCAAAAACAACAACTGTAAATGATAACAATACATCTGTTACAACAGCAGTTTTAAATGGTAACAACTCAACATATGCAACAGTAACAACATCGAATGGCAACAATACATTGGCAGGTACAACAAAAACTGCAAATGGCAACACAACTACACCTGCAACAACAGTAAATGGCAACAACACTGCAGTTTTAACAACAACT